GGACTAAAAGGTAGAAAAATTTAAAACCAAGCGTGGAATATAGCACCTCGGGGACCTTTGCAAACACAGCGTATGGTAACACCCCCTGCCACTTGCACAAAGCAACAGGAGTCAAAACAGGGACAGTGAATGGGTTAAAAAAAAATGGGGTTACAGGACATGGGGTCTTGCAGGATCCAGCTTCCACTGACATGCCTAGTTTTCTGTGGACCACAGACATCTGAACCGAACCATTCATTCAGCAAGGGAAGGAGACCTAGCTCTAGAGTATTGCTGTTTTCTTTCCCCTTAGTATAGGCAATAAATAACCAATATCTCAATGCCAGTCTGCAGCAAACAAGGTGCTTTAACGGTGACTATTTGAATTCATCGCACCTCTCATCAATGTTGCAAAATGCTGTACTCTTCTCATCCAGATCAATGTTGCTCATCCTAAAAAATTAGGAATTAACAGTTATGGATTTGGGCATTTGCATTCAATTGAGATAAAAATAAGTGAGTTTTCTCCATGATGAAAATGAAACACCACTATATATAATGTATATATTAATAGTGTTTTATATTAATCATGGAAAAAATGTGGATTTGGATTAGGTTTTTTTTATATCTGAAAATTGGGGATTTTTGTTTCAATCAGAGAAAACCAGGATCATTGCGCATAACTTCTTGCTGTCAGATCTGAAAACTCAAACTTCCCCCTCTGAGATTTACCACTTTAATGAATGCACCAAATAAAAGCCGTCTAACGGCCAGCATGTGATAATTAACCCCTACGGCAGCTGTGCAGAAGCCAAGGAGACAGTGCATCGGATATAATCCCAACACTCCTCCAGGGAGCCAGGTAACAGGGAATAATCTTCACCTGCCCTTCAACCAGGACAGCTGTTTTGCTGCAAGGGGATGGCAATCCTTTGTGCTGAAAGGGTTTCTATAGTGGTGAAAGGGCACTGGGAAATTTTTCCCCTTGAGTGTGAGCATTGTTGTACCGAGCACATTGCAGAAGGGCACAGGCACACAGCAAGCCTGCCTTGGGGCCCTGGGTTTCAGTGACAAATTCCACTCGAAACAGTGATTTTTCATATGATTTGGAGGGAGGGAAGGCAGCTTCTGTGGAGTCCAATTTAATTCCGCCCAAACATTGTTTGTTCATTTGCAAAATATTGCCACCTCCTATTGTTATGAGCCACGCACGAGGTTTAACAAACAATTTGAGCATTAACGAACACCAAATTAGGGGAGCAGCAGGAAGTCCAAAGGGTAATTCATGGATTAGTCTCCCTGAACTTGATAGTCAATGATGGTTGCACAACCAGGCCCTAAATTGTTTTATTAAGGAAAGAGCTGAACTGTAATTTGTGCAAATGGAAAATCTCAAGGAGAGAAAAATTTAGGTCAGGAATAAAAACAAGAGATTGTGATCTAGGACAATTACCATTTTCTAAAAGAAAAAAAAAAAAAATAGTTGTTGGTTTTTTTTTTTCCCCCCTCTTTCTTTTTTCCATTTTTTTGCTTTTTTCTCCTTTGTTCCCAGATTCTCTCTTTTCTCCTCAAGTAATGACAGGGAGGAGAATTAAATATAAAAATCTGACGGGGAAAAATCCACTGAACTCATCTTTTAATTAAAGAGCCTTCCTTTCTCCAACTCCAAAGTCTGCTTTTCATAGTAGGTAGGGTTGGAAGGGACCTGAACAGATCACCAAATCCAACCCCCTGCCATGGGCAGGAAACAGCGCTGGGATCAAATGACCCCAACTAGGTGATTGTCTAGCCTTGTTTTGAAGACCCCCAGGGTAGGAGCCAGCACCACTTCCCTTGGAAGTTGGTTCCAGATCCTAGCCGCCTTGACTGTGAAGTAGCGCCTCCTGATGTCTAGTCTGAACCTACTCTCTAGCAACTTGTGGCCGTTATTCCTTGTTACCCCTGGTAGTGCTTGGAGGAACGGGGACTCTCCCATTGCCTGCTGCTCCCCCTTGGCCAGTTTATAGGTGGCCACTAGATTCCCTTTCAGCCTTCTCTTGTGGAGGCTGAACAGGTTCCGGTCCCGTCACCTCTCCTCGTAGGGCCTGCCCTGCTGCCCCCCCCCGATCATGCGGGTGGCCTCCTCTGGACGCTCTCCATGCTGGCCACATCCCTCCTGAAATTCGGCACCCAGAACTGGACGCAGTACTTCAACTGCGGCCTGACCAGTGCTGCATAGAGGGGGAGGATCACCTCCTTGGAACTGCTCGAGATGCACCTGTGGATGCATGACAAGGTGCGGTTGGCCCTACTGATCGCATCCTCACATTGTCAGCCCATGTTCATTTTAGAATTGCATGATCCTTTTCTGCCTCTGCACTGACGAGAAGGGAGTTCCCCAGCCTGTAGGTCTGCTGCTGGGTCTTCCTCCACAGGTGCAGCACCTTGCACTTGTCAGTGTTGAAACCCATCCTGTTCTCATCCACCCACCCCTGTAACCTGTCTAGGTTTGATTGCAGCCTATTCCTCCCTTCTAGCGTGCCCACATCCCCCAACATCTTAGTGTCGTCAGCAAATTTGAACAGGGTGCTTTTTACCCCCTCGTCCAAGTCACTGATGAAGATGTTGAACAGTG